TGTATGCAATTACAATTAGATTATTAATCGCAATGTCAACCGGTATAAGTTCAGCATGATAATTGCCGTTGCAGTGCATTGATCTGATGACACCTTTGCCCGCACCGACGAGCAATCCTGTAGGACCATTCAGATTGTCAACCCAACCTGGCATTGGCTCCGTGTAAGATGGACATACTATACAAAATTAATTAATTTTAAAAATTTTTAATGTGTTATATAATTTACTAGATTATTTGATCATATTGCGTGCAGTCGTGAACAGAAATTTCTATTTTTCTCGAATTGAGTGCATTGTGTAAATCTGATATAACATGTGTGTGTATCGCGTCGAAAGATTTTCTCTTATGATTTTTGAAAAATTATAAAATATACCAATAATTACCGATTGATGGCCTAGCAATGCAGCAAGGCAGATTAGGATACTCGTTGGCCACCAATGTTTCGGCAAGACGCTTCGAATACGTGTAGCTATTTGGATGCGGATGCATCAATCTAGAATTATAACAATAGACAATTGCGTTATTGCATAGACATTTTTTTAATATTGGAAGATAATTCAATCATTATACGAATAAGCAATAATTCTATCTTTTCAATTTTTAATTACTTTTTTAATATTTAATTAAATCATTAAGGAGATACCTAATTATTATTATTTTATAATTAATTTTGTAATAAATATTCTCATCAATATGTAACTATTAATAAGATCGCAAATTTGATTACTTTGGTGTAAGAAGATCGATAGCTTCTTCGTCCAGCCATTGAACGAGTTTTATGACATCGTGGGGATCATCCGGGGAATCAAAGAATCGTTCGCTAAGTTCCTTTTGGTCGACGTGACAAAAGGCCGTGCTTAAATGCAGGAAACATTCCAGTTGCTTCATTTGTTTTGCCAAGTCTAGTACCTTTTTTGTACCTATCTTGAAGATTAAATCAGATTTCATGCATTTTAGATGTTATGTAAAATATTATACATTAAATTTAGATTTAGAAAACAAATTCGCGAAATTAACTAATTTTTATGTTGCTTTGACATTTAATTGTCAACACGTTTTTGATATAACATTAAATATATATTTGATGAATACAGAATCTAAATGTACAGTGTAATCAGCGCAATGTAAAGACATTCTTTCACATAAAAAAAAAAACAAATGTAACCTTATGTTATTGACGTTGATTTTTTTTACATTTCTTTACAGCAAATATCTTACAGTGTTCATCTCGATGGCATCTTTCAATTTCGCCTCCAAACGAAGAGATGCAGCGCAATGAAATACCACATGTACTTCATTTATCAGACATTCTCGCTGCTCTTCAGTAAGACCCAAATTATCAGAAGATATGTCGCCGTTTAATGGTATCACTTTTTCAAAAAGCTTAGGTTTCTCCGTTTTTAATCTTTGAAATAACTATGGAAATGTCAATAATTATTACAATTATTTATTATTAATTTACATTATTGGTACTATAATTCATAAGTTGCATAATTATTTAAAAAATCTTGGATTTATTTGAGATATGGTAGCAAAAATTATAGTTATAATTAAAAAAATAGTATAGAATAAATATAAACATTATAATAAATATGAATAAATATAAACATTATAATAAATATGTAAAACCTAAGTGTCTTTAGAAATTAAAGAAAAGGATTGCTAAATTATTAAAATCATGCAAATAAAATTACTAAATTTTGTAAAACTATTTATGATTATCACAAATTTTTTATTTGTTTTATTTGGTTCTTTTAATATTATTGCGTAAAAAATAATTCAATTACTAAGTGGATATAAAAGTTAATTCAGTCTTAAAGAGATACAAATGTATAGGCATATTGCGACGATCGCAAATATTTGAAATATATACCACGATATTGTATTACGCGACGTTAGCAAAAACAGAGTTAATGGAATTCGAACAATGTCTTACAGGTAAATGGAATATGCTGCTGAGCCGAGTATCGTAGCTATGACCTTTCTTGCCTCGTATGAGAATGTAAATTTTATCGATTTCCGAGCAGCAGTACAGCAACTTTTCCAAGAGAACCTTGCCCATAAAACCGGAAGCGCCGGTGACAAAAATGGTCTTGTTTTTGTAATAGGATTGAATTTCACTCTTATTTTTGTCCATTATCGCTGAAATGTCACGAAAATTTAGTGCATTGCGAGATTGACGGACGAAGCGGAAAGAGAGAAAGGGAAAGAGTGCACATCATTATGATGATGGATGTAGAATGTCACGCAAATTTAGCATGTGTAGCGCAATTGCTGTGCCGCAATTATCGCAATCCCATAAAATATTGCACATTACTGTATGTGTCGTTTCGTTGTAATTATGTTTCGTGTCTATTACATAATCTTTTCAGCTGCAACCAATTTCGCAAATCATTTGGACAGTCTATTATTTCACCGTAGCGCACAATTCCCGTCACGTTAGTTCAAGTCGCTGCGCAAGTAGCGAGATCGTAGAAAAGAAGAGAAAATTGATAAAAGGCCGATTAGTTGCATTCGGCCAATTGTAACTTCGTGATTCGATTCGTTTTCAACTAATAAGATTTCTTCAACATCCAGGAATAGGCAAGTCAATTTGCGAGTATAGATTTCCTCTTATAGAAAGTCATTGCATATATCGGAGAAAGCAGATTTTGAGTTTGCCGCAATAGAGATACGCATGCAGTGCTTACGAAATAATGAACCAACAAATTTATTTCTATAACGCGGACAATAAACGCGTTCAATACGAACGAGAGAGTAAAGTAACGTAAAGTCGCTGTTACAAGCGCATACTGAGGTTTACTTTTACTTTTACCGATAAAAATATTTTAAGGCGATAATATTACGTAAATTCGAAACTCCAATTACATGGAGAATGCAACTTGATCCTGGCCTTCTCGATGCCAATAAAGAGATCGCGAATATCTGGAACGATTACTTTTACCGAAATAACCGTAAACATATTTTGCAATGTCTGCGTGGAGATGCTGCGATATACCTAATTGGATATAAAATCTACCAATTATTATTAATGAGAGAACGTTAATGCATAAGTTTTCAACGCAATGTGTTTCATGTACATATTTGGTTTAAACAGCATTAGGTATTTATGTTTATAATCAATTTCTGTATAAATTTATCAAAGTGTCGTATATTACATGCTTTTTCCTGCACGAAGCTGCAGCCGCAAAACTTTCATCAAAGCAAGCGGTATTTCATATTTTACATCCGTTCGGTTACATTTATGGTAATAAGCATATGTCAATACATGTCCAATTTCGAAGCGGTAATTGCGGTAAATTTTATAAGAATTCCATAATGCAATAATTAAAGTACATTGCACTGCATGCAGTTTACCAGATCGTAAACTTAGTATAAAAATACCGGATAATATTTGCTAAATATAAGCTTCAATTTAATGTGTCCGAAGATTGTGAAATCGATGTTTCCTTCGCCCGTATGATTGATCGAATCCGTCATTTGGAGGTATCGAATCTACATTGCGTTTCCGTGCTTGTTATACTTTGCACTTTCACGTTTCTTTTTTTCGCGCGGACCAAATTGCTCGAAATGACAGGGCGCCGATAAATGAAGTTGTTATGCACGTTTATAACTGTATTACCTCTTCCAAAACTGCCGCTCCACCTTTAACATTATTTCACCCGTCTGCATTCAAATTCGAATAAAAAGGTTTAAATCATAAGGTTCTTTCCCATAATCGAAAACGACAGGTTTGTAATCAACGGCGATCAAAGGCGACACAAATATTCAGTTTTCGCAGGTTAACATTATTTTCTTTTTTTTCCATTCAGAGATATTAAGATGCAAAGTAGATGCAAAATTGAGAAAAATTGGAGCCAATTAGAGACATTTTTAATTTAATACATTCCGTCCTGCGCTGATTTTATGTGACTTTCCATTTGCAATTTTATTATGTGTATTTATAAGATATCTTATATAAGATTACGATTATAAAAAGTGTTAAGAAAGAGAAAAGGTATGTGACGTAAAATATTTTAATAAAACAAAAAAGATAAGATAATTGGTCTCAAATGACTTGAACGAGAAATGTAACACGAGTCATTAATTTCGTGCGGCACGAAACGCTTTGAGATATTTGAATCTTTTTGCAAAATTTATATCCTTGAAATATATTTTGAAAGATTGTTATTATTTCTGATATTGCTATTTAATTACATAATTAGGAAACTTGCAGTTATGCGTATATGTATTTAATTTAGTTATAGTTTAAATTATCTTAATATAATTTAATTTAGCATAAACATATAGTATTAATTGCAGTACATTTATTTTTTATCGTAATTTTTAGAGATTTTGTAAAAAAAATCTTAGAAAATTCTTTTTTTCAATCAAATACATTTGAATGAATTAATGAATAATTTTAATTTTCATTATGATATGTCGTAATTGTATCCATATTTCAGATTTGTCGGATTAGATCATTTTTATGTAAATTGTTTTGATTTTTTAAAACAATAAAGAAGGACGTATTATAGCAGCACTTTCATAGCAAAACATATCAAGACAGACTGCTTTTTGCTAACACAAAAAAAAGGATAGAGACCTGAAATCAAGCGATATCCTTAAGTATTAATAATGCATTGGCAACAAATAAAAAAAGTGGAAAATATACTGTTATGTTTGGCGAGATCAAGCATACGGTATGTTACATAAAAGAATAATCCCATTTTTAGATATAATTTTACTCCAACTTCTGATACATTTAAAAAACTTTTTTCTTAACAATATGATTTTGATAGCAACAAATATTTTATAATTGCTTTCCTGAATTTTTTAACACGTCCAAAATGTATAAATTAGCTAAATGTACGTAATGTTAATGCTTACAAAATATTTATTTATTAGGAATTTGACAGAGTAATACTTTACAATTTTTTATTAAATATTCTAATATCGTTTATTTTAAAATAAATAAACCTTAATAAATACTTTAATAAAATAGTATTTATTGACAGTTTATTTACATTGTAAAAAAAGTGTTTAATGTTGCAAAAATTTACACCTTTATTATTTAAATGCAAAATAACATAATAATCTTCGAGATTCCGCAAGATATCGCATAAGAGTTTCGACTTTTTACTATCTTTCGCTTGTTTCCGTTTATAATTAATTAATACAGATTATACAGAGATTGCGTTTCTCTCGCATTATATAACACGGCAATTCAAAGAAATGCAGTGAAGCAATTTCCCAGTTATCTAAAGATATATCTTTGCCCGACGCGAAGAAAGTGCACACCTTTATATACTGCGGAACCTACGTATGCAATGCACAAAAACACATCTGCAAACCGTTAACTTGAAGTTAAGTGTTACGTCACATACCATATTAGAATTTGTACTGGTTAGCGTAACAGCGGTTTACTCAGTAAACACAGCGACCTACCATAAATCAATCCAAGCAAATCAAGATGAAACGTGACATATCTGATTCATGATTATACAATACACTACAAAAATTAAGTAAAAAAGTGATGTCAATACGCAATTGAACGTAATTAAACGTAATTTTTTCACCCAATTAATTTACAAATGTAATGCATGCTTTGCCTTAAATTTTGATTTTTGCTTGTTTATTTATTATTTTAATTACACTTAAGTATATTTATAGTAATAATTATAGTAATACAATTTATATTTATAGTAATAATCATTATAATTATTTAGTTATTACATTCGTATAGTTATAATGTTATAATAAAAATAAAAAGGTGTCTAACATCAATGGAAAACAAAATTTGATTGAACTCTTATTCATGTATAGAAATTAGTAGATTAAAAAACTACGCTAATAGATGCATCAATTTTTTAATTAAAAATTTCAAAAATCAAGAGATTCAATTTCCAGATTTAAATTTTTATTTAAATCTTGCATGTAACTGTAAATTTCGTTATATTTCACTCAGCAAAAGGTTACACGAAAATCGGCAATAATTCCAATGCAAAATAGTAGCAATGACGTAATGCAGAAATAAAAATATATGCTGGAAATACCTGTTGTTGTTCCACCCGTTCGATTTAATCTTATGATTTTATTCTGTGACCACTTGCACAATCAACGTGATGTTTTGTTTTACAGGTTTGCTTTTTTGTGTGAATGGATCGCGCGTACTCCGTGCTCGCGAACTTACTGAGCTCTACCATAATCCGTGCTGAAAGTTGTACTGTTGTAGAACGACCTGCCGCGATCCGTCTTTCTCCTTCTCTTCTGTCTGTCTCTGTTTCTCTCCCCACCTTTTCGTAATTGTAGCTGCACATTGAAACTTCCACTTTTTCTTTTTCTTCATGCCAATTTTCCAACCATTACTTTGATTACCTCAACCTGCGATGATCTTTATGTTGCAAAACTGGAGCAAAACAATATGCGTCTTTTTTAGAGGCAGGACGCTCGCTTCTTGTCGCAGAAAAAAATGTCGATTGTTTTTTCCATTAGATTCGACCTATATTGCATTTGACGAGTCTGAAAGCGTAAAAAAGGGCACAAAAAATAAGTGTTGCAATCCTTGCGCGTTGCACTGACCCATGCTAGACTAATACTTCACGTGCCTTTGCGGAAAGCTATTACGTTTGGTAACAGTTCTTTCTTTCTCTCTTTGTCGAGAGAACAACCAGTCTCAACGTCGGTTTTCTTCTACTCTCACTCTTGGGTTCCTATAAACAGTTCATGAACCTTCATCGTTCGTAGATCATTCGCAAGAAATTATCCAAGGACGCTATATGCCATTATATCTTGACTGTTGATAGACAAGTTTATATAAGAGATAGTTTTATTGATGAGCAATCATTAATGTACTGCATTATGTTCATTATCGTTTATGATCAATTTAATTTAAGTTTATAAACAGTATAATGATTAAGCGAGTACAAAATCTATTATTAACTAAAATACATAAAAGCAGTGAACCGGTTTGCGAAAAGTAAATTAGACAAATGTGAAAGCTGCTTTACATGTACCAAATCATTGACCCTAAAATGACGATGCAACATTCTGTTGTAAATTCTAAAAAATTAAAAGTTGATTTACGATTTAGTTTCTGAATAAAATTTTTTTTTAATCAAAATCTTTTACGTATCGCTTGATATCACAACCATAAAGAATTTTTTGGAAAATTTTTTATATATTTTTAATCGAAATAAATTGAAATAAATCATAAAAATGTAAATTTCTTTTTCTCTTAAACTAATACTCATAATTTTTCTGTTGTACATACAACTTTACATTTTAAAGATAGTGTAATTTTAATTGACGCTCATCAAATTATGTTGCATAAGCACTGGAAAGTTATAGATATTATTTTAAATTATAACTTTTATTTTGAGATAAGATAAAAATTCTAATGTGTTCATTGGAAAATTAATAAAAATAACGCATGCCTATTAATTATGCCATGTCTCGTTTATTTTGAAAGAAACTCATGAAGAAACGTAGAAATCTATCAAGTGACATAGATTAATGTAGATTCGTGTAGTTTGTCTAGTAGCCTTTTACGGTTTAACTATTTAGCTATATTAGTTATCTCAAGTGTCAAGTTTTGCAATGTTGCAGTTACGCAAAAAAATTCCACGTCGACAAATGAAGTAAAAAATATGCCCGATAAGAAATTCGACTTAACTGTGATCTCATATTACACTGTAATGCATGCTCGTAAATTTTGAAAAGCATATATACGTAAACAATGGTCATTAACCGCTGTGTGGCTGTATTTGCTATATTGCTCATAATTAACTCGAAAAACATAAGTGCGAATGAGGCGGATGGTAGATGGTTGTAATTAATGCGCCTTTCGCTTTTCGTTCGTTTCTCTTCCTGCTCGCACGAGTGCTTAAGTATTATCGTACCAACAAAAATAATGAAATTACGTGACAAATGGTAAATTTATTTCATCGTGATGACGTGTTATCGTAAATAATTAATAGAATATGAGCCGATTAAAAAATAAAGTTTGTGACAGTAATGAGACTTTCAATAACAAAGTCCGATGAATGGAATGTTCAATTTCAAAAGGAGACGACATATGATAACTGACATCTTTAAAATTAAAAAATAAATAAAATAGTAAAATATGTAAATAACAGAAAGCACAGTTTAAAATAATTATATTCAAACATATTAAAATATATATATATGTATATTGTTAAATTGTTGATTATTTACACAACTTTGCAACATAAGCAAAGTTTTATTAAAATACATTTGCAACTTAATACTTTACAATGGAATTAATTGCTAAAAAAATTCTTATATTTTAATATAATATGCACAAATAGTTAAATAGATAAAGTAATGTTAAATAAAATAATCTATGAATAACAATCATCTTATTTCTAAAATTATTTTGGTCTTTTATTTATTTTGTCACAAATTATTAATATAGAACATTAATTAGCGTTTCTAAATTTTTAATAAACATTGAAACACATTTTGCAAAACTGGAGCACAGCATGCATCTGTGACTAATAGTATGACGACATTTTATATTAGAATAAGTAAATATTATGTTTGAATGTTACATTCTTTCTATGTATTATATAATTCAGCTAACCATGGCCTTGACTTGACGACAGTATTTTTGTAGCTAACGAAAGCGAAACTGGTCTTTCTCTCTCTTTTCTTCTCCTGACTATACTTAATGGCTGCCTTTCATAAAACGTCACTCACGTATTCAGGAATTCGCATTTCTCGCGTCACATGTAATCTTAAATACTTGATGTAATTTTATTGTGCATATGATTTATTTTTACTTGATATATAATGAGAATGATAATGAGAAGAAACATGATTTTTTCAATAAAACAATTTCGCAAACATTTATGAAAATAAAACAATTAAAAATTAACTTGCCGCTTTGTAAATAATAAGAAAACGTAGTTTTGTTAAATAATTAAAAGAGTATAGTGAAAGGTTAAATATATAGTGAAAGTGTATTAAATATAAATAGAAAAACAAATAAATATTTATATAATAGAATAATTATTATGTGATCTATTATGATGGTTATATTACAGAAAATAAAAAGATTTTAGAAAGTAGTTTTATCAAAAAGAATCTCTTTGGATAATTTCACATAGAATATAACGTATATTACAGAGAAATTTTATTACTTATGTATTTTCTGATTTAAAAATAAAATCTATTACAGTAATTATTTTGTTCACACTAAATAAAACTGGATTCATTAATATTAGTAAATTAAATAACGAAGAAATATGTTCTATGTAATTGTCAAAATTTTATTACATTTAATAACATAATAATTATACAGATAAATATAATATGTATTATTTTATTTTTATAATATGTTGAAAAGAATTCACAATCTTCTAATTATACGTAAGACTTAAGCAATGCACTTGCAGGCAAAACTTGATTTTTGTATCAGATTCACAGTAAGATTCTGTGGCAAATTTTCAGCATATCTAATATTCGTATACTCCAACGGATTTCTTACTAGATACACTTCTATTAATGGCAACGCATTTGTTAGGGACAAAGATTCCAGCAAAGTAAACATGTTATCACTTAAATCCAAATATTTTAGAGATACCAAAAATTCAGTCCATCCTTCTGGTAAAGAATTAAATTTATTATTCGACAGATCTAGTATCTCCAGAACAGAAAGATAAGCAAACGCTTTAGCATCGATTTGATAAATTTGATTTCCCCCTAATAACAGCTTCGTCAATTTCGGTGTTTGTATAAAAGTATTCGAGATTATTCTCTGTATTTTGTTGCAACTCAAATTTAAAACGTTGATGTTTATTTGATTTGAGATTTGCAGAATATAATCGAGCTGGTTGAAACTTAAATCAAGCACTTGCAAAGCATGCAAGTTTGCAAACGTGTCTGGATGCAGACCGCTAATATTATTCTTGGATAGATTCAGATAAGTCAATTTGTCATTGTCTTCAAAAGCGTTTAAATCGATAGCTTGTATTTTATTCCCAGAGACGGAAAGATATCGGAGATTTTTCAGATAAGCCAATTCCAAGCTTAAATTATAATTCGCTTTGTACTTCACACTTTGAAAATAATTATTGTCTATGTTCAGTGCAAGTAAATTGCTTCCTTTTTCATACAAGAATAAAGAATTAAGCTTATTATCGTGCAAGTCAAGAAATTGTAAATTATTTGACAATAATTTCATAAATCCTATATTTCCTTTATATCCTATATAGTTTTCCGAGAGATCCAGGAATTTTAATTTAGGAAATGGAATTTTTCGTGTTGGAGACGCATCAGAATCAGAAAATGTTTCTGACTGTAGATCGTAAAATGTGTTGTTACGGGCTAACAAGATTTCCAAGTTAGGATAATTTCCAAAATTTCCAATTATCGATTTTTTGTTGTCCGTTACGTTGTTTAGAATGAGAACATTCAACTCTTCATGATCTCCAAAACTGTAGATCTCATTTGAACTGTTTAAAGAATTGTTCGAAAGAAATAAATATGTTAGATTTGGAAGGCTTCTGAAACTATTATTTGCGATGTCTTTAATATTCCTATTTATGAGATTCAGACAGGTTATTAAAGGGCTACTGATGAAATCGGGGCTAATATCAATGATCCCTGTCTTGGAAAAGTTTAAAACAATCATATCGTTATTGCATTGGTATAAATCTGTATACTCGTAAGTTGGAAATTCGAGAAAGATCAAGTTGTTAGGTTGTATTGATAATCTAGCCCAACAAACAGGAATGCCGATTATGAAGATAAACTTCATAATTTGTTTATAAATCTGGAAACATAATAAAAAATTTCTGTATTAATATTATGATAAAAAAAGTTTGTTTTAAAAATAGTTTTTTAAATTTTAATATAAAAATATTTATAATAATTAGAAAAAAATAAGATAAAATTTAGTATTTATTTATAAATTGAAGCCAATTCTTATACTCAAGTTACTCAAGTAAGAAATATAGTTAAATCTATTAAACGCAAGTTTTATAAAATATCTGCTACAAAAAAACGCGTTAAAAAATTATAGATATATATTTTTATAGGAAATGTGTAAAAACATATGCGTTTTTATAAAATATAATAAAAATATGACTTACCATTGTTACTGAATTATTTTTCTACAAATTGCAATTTTTAGATTGTTAGATTATCTTGTCGTTTATAAACTTCTACTAAAGACATAAACTAACAATTTCAATAATTTCTTGTTAACCAATAAACTTTTTGCAGGCACCACACTTTGAACACTGCTCGCAATCACGTTATCATGCAACTCTGAGAAGTGAAAGGAACTTATCTATTTTTTATTTCATCATTTTTTGTTTGTATTAGACAACACAAGAGTCAAAGTTTATCAAAAACGATACGTAACACTGCAATATATTTATAACATGCGCACAGCACAATATATTTATAAAATATTAATACGTGTTTTAATACATATAAAATTTATCTTTTTAATACATGCGTATATCTAAATTTGTCTTGTTTTCAATATTTTTAAAATATCTTTTTTAATATCTACTTATAATATGTAAAAATAAGAAATATTTTAATTTAATAACAGAAATATATAAAAAAACATTATTTTCTTAAAGAATTAGCTTTATTGCAGTCACTATCTGATGAATATCTTAATATCAGCAAGGCTTTCAAACTATGAAAAAAAAAGTTTTTAATATAACTGTTTTTAATATAATTGAGGAAGAAATATTACACTAAGAAGAATTGAGTTCAAAGAAAGTCTCGGTTACATAAACTAGTTGCACAAATTTAGTTGCACAAATTACAATCGAGTCAGCTTGATTACAAATAAAGTCAGATTAACAAACAAGATATTAAAAGAACACCAAAATTCTGTTCGAAGAATTAGGACTGTTAATTCGCCATATTCAACTCAATTCGAGTTGTTTCAACTGATTTTTTTACAGTGTATTTTTATAAAATTATATTACATGTATCACACAAATAATTCAGCACATAACACACATGATTCCAAATGATAAAATGATATATCGTAATATTAAAGAGTATCTGAAGAAAAGTTTACTTATTTACTAATATTGTTATAGACATAGTACGGTCAAAGATAATTGTCATAATTGTAATAATGTGTACGACTATACTTATGCTAGATATGAGTATCATGGTGTGAAATTGTTAGATTGTTCATTGTTGACAGAATAGAGTCGAGATAAGTATCGAATAATAAGTGTTGAGTTGTTGGGTTGAGTTGTCATTATCGGTGGCTTAAGAACTACGAAATTCACTTTTGTGTTTATAAAATAATTGAAAGTCCTCTCTATCTTACACAAATTTAATAATTTTAAAATATTACATAAACCTCATTCGATAGAGCTTTTCAAGACCTTTCGAACGAGACCTATGTTTGCCTATCTATCTACTTTTGTTTGTGAGTTATTGCAGTTTTTCGGTGATTTTAGTTTTTCGATTTTGTCTTCAAACTGATTTCCTTGGTAACGATGATACAGACTTCTTTCCGGTTTGAAATTGTCTAAAGAAGATTATTTAACTTGTCAATTAAACGGTTTTATACCTGCGCTCCGAGATCAAGATTTTATCTCTACGCCTTATTCAATAGCGTTTAACTTTGAAGATTTTCCAAATTTCCAAAAATCTCTTTACACATATTTTAGATACATAGAGGATTCAAAAAATGCAAAAAAATATAGAACTTTTTTAAAAGTAGAAACTCTCTTTAAGTGTACTTGTATTTATATAAACATTTATTACATTTAAACACTTCTAGAAATTATTTAAGTAAAACATTTACTATTACAATTAACAGGGTGGTTTAATATTAAGCGAATGGTGTGCGGAAAACACAGAATAGTTTTATGGAAAAAATGTGTTAGACTTGATTGTGGAGTTGTGATTGTCTAACTGGCATGAATGTTATTAGTTTATACTCTCCAAAGTAATATGTTTTCTCTAATTAGCATTTGACAGCACTCAATATGCTCTGTAAAAACATAAAGTTCAATTTTCTGTCAAGTAAGCAGTGAGTTACTGGACATATGCGACACAACGTCAAGAATTAAGTTGCAATTAAAATATCAACAAAGCAATGTTCAAGTAATGGAATTGAGATGGGAAGATAATTTATAAATATATGACAAAGAGCTTGTCACAGCCTGATATAATTATTGCTGCCGATATTCTGTATGAAAGCAATCCATTTGCTTCATTGTCATTAGGATTGAAACATCTTATAACATCAAATAAATTTTACTTAAAAAAATATTCTAAAATGGAAGCAAACGCTTATTAAATGTACAACCGTGTTGTTATCTTATATCACTTTTATTTATTTTTTACGTTATTTATAATATGCTTTCAACAATATCATAATATTACTTATAATATTATATCTAAATATATTTTAATGTAGATAATATCTATATTATATCTACATTAATTCATTGTTTGGATTATTAACAATTATCCAACGATTTCATATTTAATATTTATAAAAATTGGAAAAAATTATAAAGATATTATTTAATACAGCAAGTTAATTAATATAATATCAGCAAATTCAAATTATACAAAAATTAATTTTGCACAAATATCGATATTTTGTTAACTGCAATAATATATAGATAAAAACTCAATAAATAATCAATAATAATTATAGTCGTATTTATATTTGCATAATGCTTGTGTAAAATTTAAACTTTGTAAGAAATTCACAGCAAGATTTTGTGGCAAATTCTCAAAATACTTAACATTCAAATAATCTAACGAATTCGTTAGATACAACTCCATCAAAGGCAACGCACTTGTCAGAGACAAAGATTCCAGTGAAGTAAACATGTTATTACTTAAATCTAAATATTTTAGAGATATCAAAGATTCACTCCATCCTTCTGGTAAAGAATTTAATTTATTTCCCGAAAAATCTAGCTCTTCCAGAACAGAAAGATGAGCAAACGCTTTAGCATCGATTTCATCAATTTCATTATCCTCTAATGACAACTTCGTCAATTTCGGTGTTTGCGCAAATGCGTTTGGAATTATTTTTTGTATCTTATTGCAATTCAAAAACAAAACGCTAATATTTATTTTACCTGACATTTGCGGAATATTCTTAAGTATGTTAGAACTTAGATCGAGCGTGCTCAAGGAGTGCAACTTCGCAAACGTGTCTGCAGGCACTTCGTTTATATTATTCATCGATAAATTTAAATAAGATAATTTGTCAGTATCTTGAAAAGCGGTTGAATAAATAATTTCAATTCTGTTTCTAGAAATAGAAAGATAGCTCAGATTTTTCAGATTAGCCAATGTCAGACTTGAATCGTATGATTTCGTATACGCCACTTTATCGAATTCGTTGTTATCCAAGTCTAACATAACCAGATTTTCTCCTTTTTCTCCCAAATTCAAGGAATTTAGATTGTTTCCGTGTAAATCAAGAAATTGTAAGCTGTTTGACAACAAATTTACAAAACTGGTATACTGCATTTTGTTTTCGGAAAGATCAAGCACTTTCAATTTAGGAAAATACTTTTTGTGATAAATATTTCGAATCGTAATACTGGAAAGGAATAGGATTTTTTAAAGAATACTCCATGTCTCTAAAGCCGTTGTTACGGGCATATAAAATTTCTAAGTAAGGATAATTTTCGAAAATTTTAACTTTAAGCTCTGGATATTTATTGTTTGTTGCGTCGTTAAGAACAAGAATCTTCAATTTCTCATGACCTCCAAAGTTGAAGAGTGTAGCTGAGTTTTCAAAGTTGTTTTTAGAAAGTGACAAATATGTCAAATTTGGAAGATTTTTGAAGGCATTCTTTGCGACATACTGAATGCGATTATTTGTGAGGTTGAGACAGGTTATTAGAGGGCTGCTGATGAAATATGGGCCGATGTGAGAAATCACTGTGTTCGAAAAGTTTAAAGAGGCCATATCGTCCTTGCAAAAGTGTAGATCCGACGGATTTGGATATTTTGAGAAAATATAATTGTCATTGGCTGCTGATTGTGTAATCCAAAGGACGAAAATGGTGACTATGAAGATAAACTTCATAATTACCTTAGATATCTGGAAATAATAAAAAAAAATGTCTGTTTTTTTATTGCAATAAAACATGATTTATTTTGAATGTAATAAATATGTAATAAATCTAACTCTTAAAATACTAATGAAAAACATTTGTTATAATATTTTGAATGTTATTATATAAATTCTGCATGTCATAGTTCAAATTTTAATAAGTTTGTGACATAATTTGAAATAGTCAAATCTGTTAAAATCTGTTTTGTTACAAAAGAAAAGCCAGAAATTAAAAGTAAAATTTATTTAAGATATGATGACAGATAAATAACAAAAAACAATCAAATTTGTAATAAAGTTTGTTAATTTGTAATAAAATCTGTAAATTAAATAAATTTATTGAACACAATTTAACGATTCCGTAGTGACAAATATCAAGCAGTTTTCCTAATTCACAATTATTAATATATTAATGTATGTTGTTAATTAATGTAGAAGTTTATTATTTGCTTATAACATATAAATATAAATTATTTTTTGTTCTGTATATAATTCCTTCAAATATTGATTTTAATCTAATATTATATTGATTTAATTTTATTATTATAATAGAAACTGCATAATAATTATTACAATGACAAAAATATAGAAAATATATTTTTGTACAAAAAATGTATATAATTTATATATAACTTATTATAAAATAACATAAAAATAAAACTTACCATTGTCACGAAACAATTTTTTTAAAAGCTGGAATATTTAAACCGTTTAGTGTTTCTTAACTTCTTGCCAGCTAGAACGCTTCTCACAAAGTTTACTCATCGAATACTGTTTTAATACTGTTCTTTTATAAACTGGTATCGTTAAAGACAAGCGACGTTCTATTAAGTATTTCCTGTTCATCCTACGCAGTATAGAATTTAAATAGAATAAAAATGACGTAAGTAATATACGCACACGCACTGGAGTACATTTATAAAATATTGAAATCTATTTTTATATTTATACTTACATTTATCTTATTAAAATTTTTTTTTTAAATATTTATTTTTATATTTATTCAATATATACGCAGATACATAAACATACAGATTTTTTTAAAAGACTGCAATTTATAACAATAAAATTGAAAAAAAACTTTTAGTTTATAAAAAAATATTTTGAAATTAAAGCAAATACTTATTAAATGTACAATCGTTTTGTTCATGTCATCTATATTTATTATTTCATAAAATATATACATATTTTATGTAAAGTACACATCATAAAATATATTTATAATTGAAGACAAAAATATAAAAGTAATTATATAAATGACTTATCAAAATTCCGAATAAATAATTTAACTATTACAATTGTAATCGTGTTACATAAGATTGCGAATCGATTTATATTATACATAAATATATTTTACAAAATGTCGAAGTTTTGTTAACTGCAATGAAACATGTGTGTGTGGATATAAACTCAAACATCTATTTGTATTACTATTAAAATCTTAACATTTGTACAGCTGTGCAAAATTTGATTGTTGTGTCCAGTGTACAGTAAGATTTTGTGGCAAATTCTTAAAATATTTAATATTCAGATATTCTAGCGAATTCATCGCCAAATACAGATCTATCAACGACAGTGTGTTTGTGAGTGATAAAGATTCTAGCGACGTGAACATATTATCGCTTAAATCCAAATATTTCAGAGATGTGAGAAATGCAGTCCATCCTTCCGGTAGAGAACTTAATTTATTTCTCGACAAATCTAGCTTTTCCAGAGCATAGAGAAAATCAAACGCGTCAACATCTATTTCATCAATTCGATTTCCTCCTAATAACAATTTTATCAATTTCGGTGACTGCGCAAAATCATATGAAATTATTTTCTCTATTTTATTACAACTTAAATGTAAAATTTTTATGTTTGTGCTTTTTAAGATCTGTGGAACATAATTGAGCTGATTGAAACTTAAATCAAGTGTGTCCAAAGAATGCAAATTTGCAAATGTGTCTGAATCCAATTTACTTATCGAGTTCGTGGATAAATTGAGATAAATCAATTTATTGGTATCCTGAAAAGCACCCAATTCAATAGTGTATATTCTATTGTTGCTGATAGAAAGATATTGGAGATTTTTCAGATTACCTAAAGATAAACCGTTATATGACAGTTTATATACGTATTGAAAATTGTTATTGTCCACATTCAATACAAGTAAATTGCTTCCTTTTTCATTTAACGTCAAATAATTAAGATTGTTATTATGTAAGTCAAGAAATTGTAAACTGTTTGACAACAAATTCATAAATTCTAGCCTGGAGGAATATCCTATAAAGTTCCCGGAAAGATCCAAAATTTTCAATTTAGGGAATTCAACTTGTTGTGTCACAGACGAGAATTGAGATGTTTCTGACTGCGCTCTGAGGTCGTTCAAGCAGCTGTTATGGACAGATAAGATTTCTAAGTTAGGATAATTTCCGAAAACTGCAAAACGACTCATTTCAGTCGTTGGAACATATTCTCCATTTGAATCATATGTGTAAAACGCTGTATTGTTTACAACAAGAACATTTAACTTCTCATGATCTCCAAAGTTTATATTATCATAATCATAATATAAATAATTGTTAACAAGAAATAAATACGATAGATTTGGAAGATTTGTGAAAGCATTATGTGCGATGTTTTCAATATAGTTATTTGTAAAATTCAGGCAGATTATTACAGAACTGCTGATAAAATCGGGGCCGATATCGGTCATCTTCGTGTTCAAAAAATTTAAAGTGTTCATATTGTTGCATAGGTGTAGATCTGCATAATTTGGAAGTTCGAAAAAAGTATGATTCTCATGTTCTATTGATAATGTGCTCCAAGAGACAAGAATGCCTACTGTGAAGGCAAACTTCGTAATTGTTTTATATACCTGGAAATATAAATAAAAGAGTGCATTAATATTATGATAAAAAATAATTTATTCTTAGAATAGTTTTTTTAGAAAAAACTTAACATTTTAATAAATATTTTATTTCTAATTAAATGTAAGATTAAACTTAATATATATTCATAAATTAAATAATTCTAATATTAAAATGTTATATAATTATTAAAATATTATCATATATTATTTCGTCAAATCAAGTAGTAATATATGTAAATCATAAATCCAACTTATGCAAAATTGTAAAGTCTTATTAATATATAAAAATCACTGTTTTAACAATAAAGTAAAATTTAAAGACAATATATAAAACTATTTTAAAAGTATTAACATTGATAAGCAAAATCTTATACGTAAAAACATTATGAGCAATTTATGAAAAATTCAAATAAATAATTATTAAAATTTGATTAACAGTAAAATTAAAATTTAAGTTATTATTAAGTATATTTTTTAATAATTCGAATTTTTACATATTTATAATATAATCCAGTACTCAAATCTATTAAATACAGATTTCATAAAATATTTACTACAAGAGAAAAACATGTTATAAAAATAAAAATATAAATCTTTTAGTTATACAACATATAAAAAAATTATGCGTACATTTCTAAAAAATAATATAAAAATGTGGCTTACCATTGTTGCTGATATTTTTTGTACTGCAATTTTTAGACTGTATTGTGTTTTGTTAATAACTTTTGTTAAAAATACATTGAAAGCAATGATTTTTTTAATTACTCGCAACGAACTTCTTGTAAGCACTACACTTTGAACACTGCTCGCAATTTTAATAATATTATCGTGTAACCCTGATTATCTTATTAAAGAGAAATTATCTATTTTAAAATTTATTATTTTTTATTTATCTAGATAACGTAAGAGTTAAAGTTTATCAAAAACACGCACATTGCAACATATGAAATATTAAAATCTCTATTAACACTCATATTTAATTACCTTACTATATATTTTTTAATGCTTTTATTAAATATTTATTTATAATACAAAATATAAAGAATTGTAAATATGTAAAAAATACTTTATAGCAGCAAAATACATGTAAAAAATTCTTATTTTTAAAAAATAATATTTTAAAACATTGAGGCAAATATTTATTATGCAAAGTCTCGTCCGGATGGATGAATAATTGTAGTAGCGCTCTCCGCTGCGCTATCCTCAACAGAATTTTAAAGCTAGGGCAAAAATTTGAATCGAGCGCCGTCTCCTACACCTAAGTGCAGCTATCTGCACCTATCGCCTTCATTGTTTTTCTGTTGTGTATATCCTCAACACGTACCCATTTTTTTTTAGTTTTAACGATTATTTTGAGCAATTTCAGGTATGGGTAAGTCTTCGCATAAATCTAGAAAGCGAAGAAGACCGTCATCTTCGGATCGTCTGACCGATTTGGAAACTAAGATGTCTCGATTGATTGATATGCTTTCACATAGCGAGGCTAGGGTTCATGACCGCCGTCCCGTTCTCCACCGGGGTCAGTATTGCCCTTCAGGAGGATCTAGAGTCTTGTATCGAGTCAGTTTCTACCTCTCACAACAGATCTGATTCGATTTCGGCTGGGGTACCCCCTGCGAGTCAGGAGGGGCCAACAGACCTAGAACCATCAGGTGTGTTTGATATTGCTGGTTCTGCATTTGAATAATGCAGGCGGCATGACGGCACTACCTTTTTCCTCCTAAACTCATTGGGAACATGGGTATATTTTTGCAGCAATAAATAAGGGAATGGAAGGTGAGCAAGTTTCATCCTGCGGCAAGCCAAAAGAGGTTACTTTTGTCGAAGGCCCCCTACCGGCAGATACTGTCTCAGTAGACGACTCTCTTGCCAAACACCTTTTTGGTCCAGACCTAGAGGGGGAGGAGACACCATCATGGAATGATTTGGTAACTTCAAAGTGGCGTGAGCTAACACGCAAAGGCCTCACTTCGGATCAGCGCGAACTTTTAAATAAAAAGTATGCTCCCCCGGAGTCAGTAGCGTTTCTCAAGGCCCCCACTCTTAATCAAGAGTGCAAGGTGGCTCTTAAAAATAATCTCACTGTCAAGAGAGACGACTACGCCAGAAAGATCCAGGATCAAGCAGGCGTAGCCTTATGCGCTTTGGGGGAAGCCATATCTGATTTCCTGCAATCGGAAATTCAGAACTCTCTGACCTCGGGAGCGCGTGCAGCGATCGTTAAGGTCAACGAAAGATCTAGAATTCTTGCTGACCTTTTTTACCGTATCTCTCTAAATAGGAGAGCTCTAATTACCCCTGCCCTCAATTTAAACGCAAAAAATACGGCGGATACTATTCCGGTAGATGAATTATTATTTGGGGCCTCTTTTGGCGAATCAATTAAAAGAACAGCTTCAATGGAAAAGTCTTCAAAGGACATCGTAAAACCCTCTTTTCCAATAACCAGAAGAATTCAACAACCAATTAAACAACCAATCCAGGTTGCTTCTGGTTCTTCGGGAAACGCCCGAGCCCCTGTGCGACAATCGAGACCGGCGCCGAGAGGAACAGGGGCATCAAACAGCTACCGTCGGCCATATTATCGCCCCAGATCCCGATCGAGGAGGCGATAGAAAAGGACGTAAATATCGGTGGCAGATTAGCCAATTTTCTTTTTAATTGGAGGCAAATCACAGTTAATCCGGTCGTCCTGGAGACCATTGCTGGCT